AAAAGATCATGGAGTGGACTAATGGAACACTTACATGAACATGAAGATGAAGATGATACAATACTTTTTGGAACAAAAGAACTAGAGGGAAATGAATTATTCAACGCGAAAAAGCGTGGAAGCAATTTCTTGTCCCCTTTTCTTGTTGCAATTAAAATTTGAGGACTTTGTATAGCCAGAACTTGCATTTTGCCTCTACAGTAACTGCTTTCTTTACAAAATCTCGAAGCCCATTACAAAATTGGCACTTATATGACAGTGAAAAGTAAGAACTATCAAAACATGGACAATTGTGACGAGTTCAGAGGCTGAGGTGTAGAGGGGATATAGACGTGTCCGGTTTTCTGTAACTGGGATTTCCTCACCTCTGTTTCTCTCTCTCCAATTCCTGCAGTTCCGTTTTAGAACCCAGAACACACGACTTTTTTAGAACAGTTTGGAATGCCCTTGACAGCTCAAGTATTGCTACTTCAACTAAACTGGAGAAGATTGAAGGAAAATAATTGTCGTAAAAATACATTAGGCCCGGCCCATCAAGGAATAGATCAGACAACAGCGATCCTGTTCCAAGCTGGGCTGTGACATTCACACAAGAACTTAGCCCAGCCCAGAGGTGATAATGGGCATGTCTTGGGGATTCTACGTGGGCTGAACTGATTGAGGCCCAACAATGTTGGAATTATTGTTGATGAGGTAGTTATGCTCATGTAAGTCTAGTCTTATGTGGGCTGGGCCGAGTTGCCCACTGTCAACATATAAATATATGGATTTTGATACTTGGAGTAGCAAGATCATTTGTGTGTGAGTGAGAAAATTACAAAAATTAAGGGTCCATTTGATTGCAAAAGTGAAATTTGGGTGGAAAGAAAATGAATTTTAAAGAATTGAATTAATGGGAAATTGCTCTCTTGAGAATTGTAAATTATTGTATTTGACTAGTATAATTTTTCACGTGAAAAATGTTTTAAGTTAAAGTGTTTTTTATGTCCGTTTGACTTTATTTTATATGAAAATTGTTGATTAAAGGGATGAAATTTACTGGTATTGGGAATGAAATTTATTTCCATTGCCAAAACAAAAAAAAAAACAAAAAAATCATCTATCTTTGGGTATTCGTTTGACTTTGTTTTATATGAAAATTGTCAATTAAAAGAAAATATTTTTTTACAATAAAATTTAGAATTTGTTTCCATTACCAACAAAAAAAAAATCAAAAAATCAAAAAAAAAAACAAAAAAACAAAATGCTATAGTAACATAGAATTGCAATTCTCACCCTTTGGTTTTTCTTAAAAATCAAGAAAATATCAATTCCCGAGACAAACAAGAAAAGGCAATTACTTGAAAATAAAATCCTATCAAACATCATAAAGTTGGAAAATTGAATTCTATTTCCATTTTTCATGGAAAATTATCAAACACACCCTAATACATTTAGAGATCCCATTTCATAAATTATAGGTTAGATTTACTATTTCAAAAATCATATTTTTTAATTAATTAATATATTTAAAATATTAATAATTTTATTACAAAATTAAATATACATATTCATCACAAACCCTAAAATTCAATTTTTACTCTTCTCTCACTCTCCCCTAATCAACTTCAGCACCAACCTCATTCGATGACTACAAGCGCGACAACGAGGACTTGATGGTGGGTGTTAGTGTGATGATGATCGTTGTGGTGTTGGTGTTCGGTGTGGTGTCGAACGAGTATTTGTTGTTGATCGTCGCGACAATCTACCAGACCAACACGAACGTAAAGGCATGGCATCGCTCTAAAACAGCCAACTGGCGTCCCTACCCTCCCCTAATCAACTTCGACACCAACCTCATTCGACAAGTACAAGCGGCGACAGCGGTGATGGTGTAGCGAGGACTTGATGGTGGGTGTTAGTGTGATGGTAATCATTGTGGTGTTGGTGTTGGTGTTGGCGTTCGGTGCGGTGCAGTGTGGTGTCGAACGAGTATGTGTTGTAGATCGTCGCGACGATCCACTAGACTACCACCATCGTAGCGATGTGGCGTCGCTCTAAAAGAGCCAGCATCACTACTGCGATCAGGTCGATCAGATTTAGGTTTGTAACTTATAAAGTGATCTTGGATCTGATTTTCGGTAGTTGTGCAATTATTTTGGATTTGATTTTGTGGTGGTTGTGAAGTGATTTTAGGGTGTGTTTTGTTGGTAGTGGTGGTGTTGTTGTTAAAGAGGTGGTTCTGACGACGACGATGGTGCTGCTGTTGCTACAGGTAGTGGTGGTTCTGGCGACGACGATTGTGCTATTGCTGCTGAAGGCAACGGTGAAGTGGTAGTCACAAATTATTTGGTTGATTGTAACCATTAAATTGGTTAACATGTGACCAACAAAATAGATAAATTGTGACAAAAAAATAATGTGTGACATAAAAAATTATTAATTTTGATTGATAATTTAATAATTTGTGACTGAATAATAAGTTGTGACTTATAATATTTGTAATTTGTGATTAATAAATAAATCGTGACTTCTAAATTTTTTGATTTGTGACTGATGAACAAATTGTGATTTAAAATTTTTTTGAGTTGTGATATAAAATTTCTGATTTGTAACCAAATAATTATAGTTGACTAACTAAATCATTAATTTGTGATTCAACTGTATAGATATGTGACCTAAATATAATTAATTAAATTATAAATAAAATTTAATAAAAATCTGATTTTTGAAGTTTGAAACTTATTTTCTTGATTTTGAAATGTATGATATTTAAACTCTTACTTATGAATTTTTATATATGAAATAGCTGTAAGAGCATGTTCGGGCAAGCTTTAAAGAAAGAGGAAATTTTGAGTAAAAGTCACATTTTTTGTGGAGAAACGCAAGGCCAAAAGTGCTCTAAGAAACCCAGTGTACTAAAAAGCGTATAGCGTGGCTAGGCATAAATACCGAATTTCAAACTTTACAAACCTAGACCTAAGGATAAAACAAAATGTTATTTATTTTTATTATTATTTGGAAATTTCTTAATCATTCTAAAAATTATATAGCAATTAAAATAATAAATACCAAACATCTAAAATTAATAAATTCTATAATTATTTAATAATTCATGCGATTAGTTCATTATACAATTTTCAAGTTTTCAAAATACAAAAGGTGGATTATTTTTCATAGTTTTAACTAAACAGGATCTACTAAACAAATTTAGAGGAATTTCATATATACTTTAGAAGCTTTCAACAATACGATAAGTCTTAAAATCATAATTACCTAATATAGATAGTATCGTAACTTAAATTTTATTTAAATCTTTATCAGATAAAATCATAAAATCTTTATCAGATAAAATCATTTAAAAACTTGAAACTAAAGTCAAATACAAGCCTTTAAAAAATAAAATAATTAATAAACTAAAGTCAAAATAGAATTTTTTTTGAAAAATGAGGGAAAAAAATAATAAAGCATGCCTACTCTAAAGTAGTCAACCTAGCAGTTGACTGCTTACTTCACACTTTCGCGCCTCACGCTGAGGCTCGCTTTTTAGAACATTGAAGAAACCTTACGAACCCATTTAGTTGATCTCAAATAACATGAGCCCATTTGCAAACTCGAGTAAGGAATGTGTTGATGAGATTATGAAAATCACAATTTACAACTTACACAAAGTTAATTTGCATAGTTTCTAATTGATAAATAATGAACTTTTAAAATTGCGTTTAATGTAGCGACCAAAAAATATTAACACTCAAAAATTTGTTAATTCATGTAGATTATGAAGAAAAAGGGCAAAATATGGAGAGAAGTCTCAACGGCCATTGTTGATTATACTTAAATTAAACTAATAACTTCAACAAAACACACACGCGCGCGCGCGATTAATATTAAGGGTTTGGGTTTGATCTTTACAATTAACAAATAAAAACGCAAATTAATAATAATTCGTGGTAGAAATCAATCAAGAAAAAATAGTTAGAAGTCTTCATTTCACTAATTAACCCAACTCATGTTCAATTTATATTTTGGTTCGGTTATTGTGTTGTGGTTAATTAAGTATAAGATAAAATATTAACCTTCATCTGTCAAGTACTAGTTAACATACCCCTAATCATGAAACTTTCTCGATAAATAATTTGATAAAAGTGATGCATAAGAATGTAGGATAACCAAATGAATAAGTAGATATTTCTCAATTTAACAACAAATTCATGAAAAGCAAGATTGAGTGCTCTAACATGCAATATCTTAATTTAACATATAACAAAGGGATAATTGCAACAGAGGCCCAAATCTTTCAAAGAGTTGCAAACTTTTTCCTAACATCTCATTTGTGGACGTCACCTCAAACCTTTCAAAACATTGCGGATGAAGTCCCAGTGAACGAATTCCATCCATATTTTTATTAGTTGACCAAAAAAAGGGATTTTGACCACATATTAATCAATTATAAAAGGACAAAATGGCAACTTTATATTTTTTACATTAAAAAACTTAAAAAAAACCAAAGAAAGGAATAGAGAAGAAAAAAAAATAAAAAGGAAAAAGAAAGTCTTCTTCTCCCCCACCTTCACCCCCAACGCCCACCCCAACCCTAACCCAGAATCGAAAATCCACATCACCAATAACCATCCTAACCTCATGGAAGGGACTTCAACAGACCCAAGTTGTCGTCAGTAATTTGACTCAAATACGGGAAAATTGCAACTTTTCAATTCCCCTTTTGACACAACAATGGCAAAAGATAAGGTAATTTCACACATTCTATCACAAATTTCTTCTATTTAATCTTGAATTTTTTGCCTTTTTTTGCTGTGAATCCATGGTGGCTACAACTAGCCAAAGCTACTGCCATTTTGCTCAAGGTTTTAGCTACCATTTTGATTATGTTGATGGGGGGGGGGGGGGGGGT